GTAAATCGTAATAACTAATAGGAAATTAGAAATTGACAAAAATATCAACAAAATGACAAAATTATTGAATTTACAAAATTGAAATTTTGGACAAATTTTCAAAAAAATTCAATTTTTTATTTTATATATTTTTTCGTCGGTCCGGTTTGATTTTAAACCGTAATTAAAATTCTCAAATCTAAACCAAACCGTTTTTGACCGGTTTGGTTTGGTTCAAAACAATTTCGTTGACGGGTCCACATGGTACCAAACTGTCGGTTTCAAAATTGCGGTTTCGGTTCGATTTTCCGGTTTAGTGATTTTTGCTTACAGCTCTAGTTTTGCCACATAATTGATTATACTAAAAATGTTTGAGGGTAGATTTGTTACATTTTGTAAAAGTTGTGGGGAAGAAGTGCAAATTTCCATTAATATAATTTACCTAAAATAAATTTCAACTTATTTTATAATTTCCCGCCTCTCTCGGTCTCTTTCTCGAATTGGCGCTCCCTTTACTTATTTCTAATATTTTTTTCAGACATTTTACCATAAAAGAGGAAAAAAAAAAAAAATGGAAAAAGATAGTGAACTGAAGGCATCGATTCCAGGATCTAGGCAATTGAATCTGAAAAAATCATTCAAGCGTGCATTACATTCCTTATTAACTGCTTGCCCCAAAGAGGTTAATTTTTTTTTTCTAAATTATAATAGTTGAAGTGTTTTTATTTCAATTGAATCAGTTTCTGATTTTTCATTTTTTTGTTAATTCATAGGAATTTTGTAAGGCTTTTCCAAGTTTTACTGCAGCAGAACACGAACGCCTCCACAGGCTGTTCATTCAGGTTTGATATATCAACGCTTGCTTAATTTTATTCCGAATAGGGTTTTATTTTATTATTATTATTTTTTAAAATTTCTGTTTTATTATATATAATAATAATAATTATTTTTATTTAAAGAGCATATTCGTCTAAGCCTTAAAAAAATTTCTACGCAACATGTTTGGATAATTTGGATTACTGACCTTTTACTTATTTTAAGTAAGTTATTTTTATGATAGTAAATTAGTACCTCTCACCCTATTGTTAAAATAAGCAAGTTCATTATTTTTAGCTTTTATGGATAAACTGTTTATTTTAAAACTTATTTAATTTTTTTAAGCTTAGCCAAGCATGTTTAACTAGAAAAAGGTCATACTGGAGGCTGTTTTGGTTCTACCCATAACATTTTTCTTAAAAAATCGTGACAGTATAAATTATCTTCTCAATATCTAGTAGAAATAGAAAAAATAAAATGTCACCTATAAATATTTAAATACTTTTTTAGTTCACTGCAAATATGCCACCAAACAACATCCAATATCTATCCTAATAGCATCCAATTCCGTCCATGGCTGTTGGTGCAGTGCCTCAAGAGGGTTTATGGGATGGGCAACGCGTAAGGTTAGGTGAGGAGTGACTACGAACGAGAGTAATATGATTCAATTGTTCAAATGAACGAATCTGATTGATTATGATATTTGCTTTTTGGGCCTTGCAAATTTGCTACTTGCTGGCCTTGTCATCCTGTCATGGTGAATAATTGTAAAAAATAAAAACTTATAAAAAAGAACAAATTCGGTTCCAGAGTCAGGTACCAAGGGTTTCGGTTCAAGAGCTAAGAACCGTCCCGGATTCGTTCGGTTCTCGATTCCGTTTCCCAATTATTTTTTTCTAGAACCAGTCCGGAACTTCCGGTTCCGTTGGGGAGGTTTGGTTCCAGTCAAAATGCCCAGCCAAAATTTGGTTCTTATAATCAAGTTATGACATCTGATGGTTAAAGACACTTCCTTTTGGCTGTAACTTGTGCTTCATTATGGAAATGGATGTGGGAACACTATAATAAAGGAAAATAAAAAATAATGTGAAAAATGAATTCCCTTGCATATTTTATTTTTTGCATTCAGAATATGATTTTTTTTCTTCTTTGAATTCAGGTAAAGAACATTATAAATGAAAGTATTTTATAACCTTTTATTTTTGTTGAGATCACCGTAGAGAGGATATGTATTCCTTGCACGATCTTTCCCTTCTGTTTTACCCTTGTTTTTTATGGGAACCTAATACTAGGAAATGTCTTCCTCGGCACTTGGCATTTCCTTCTCACTGAAATTCAAGATTTAAATTGTAAAAAGCTGAAGAGATCCATACATGAATATAAATTTTTACTTTTTTTTTGAATGTTGAACATACATGAATATAAATTTTTACTATTTTTTGAATGTTGAACTATCACAGCACTAAAGGTTTTAATTTTCAGGTGATCAATTCTTTGCATGAAGATATAGAGGTATGCAATTTATAATGTATACTGAGGCTTTCATTTGCACAAAATTATATCTCCGGTCTATTTATGAAGTGAACTAATTCAGAGGTTTTTCAGTTGTTAATTTATCATTTTACTGCTATTTCCTGATCTATTATTACTAACTTTTAACCAACAAAACCAGGGTTCCCCATTCTAGGCGGTTCTGATGTTCTTCATATCAGTTTCAACAACTGAGTGTGCCATTGAGTTAAGCTATCCCATTACCAAGTGACTAGACTTTGACCATACTGTGCCATTGAAAGATACAACAAGAATGAATAACGAGAGAGTAACTTTGAGAAACAGGCATTGAAGTTGACTTGAGATATGTAGCTTAGGCTGAGTCCTTATAACTTGCTAGTTACTATATCTCCTGTGAGTTTGAAACGATGGTGGTATATTCTCCTGGTCCATTGACATTAAAATTATGTTTTCTAATCTACTTTACAAGTCAGAATGAGACAATTTGTGGAACAGGAGTATTGACATGTTTAATATATCTAAAGTATATCAAAAATTTTTTTATCTCTCACATTTTATCTGTATTTGATCAGGATGGATATTGTAGAAAATATCCCTCCATCTCATCATTATTCACACTTCCCATTTTGGGATGCCCCAAAATAAAACCATTTCAAAATATTGATTAATCTTTCTGATTTTATCTCTATACAATCGTTTTGTTAAGATTTTACTAAGCCATTGCATTTAATTAGACTTTTCATTTGATGGTGTTTTCGTAAATGAATGCTAGACTAAATTGAAGGAATGCAATTGATGCATGTTCCTTAAACGATAGTTCAAATTGAAGTTCTTCTAGTGTGATAGAGGGAGTATATTTTTTTCCCTAAACACATCATACTAAGTTCTGTTCTGGTTCTGGTTTTTGTTATTTGTGAAATGTGTTATCAATTCTGTGATAAGAAAAGTAGATTCAAATTAGTTATCAATTGTTCCCATTTGATCATTCAAGTCTAGTGATCAGAAATTAATTGCCGAGAGCAGTAGGGTATTAAGCAAAAGATCATTCAAACCTTGTTTTTAGTCCAACTAGTTCCATGATTTGTGTGATAGGCCACTTCTCCCAGGGGATGCATTCCCACTGTCCCTCTAACATGCTCTTAATAGGATTTTTATGATGGGACATGCTGTCCCATCCAATAATTAATTGACGTCATGGTCTGACCCGTGCCACATCATGCTGTATATTAGATCCAGCTTTATATGTTTTCTATTTGTTGTTTGTCATCTTTGTCATATGTGATTGTATTTACATTTTTTTCTCAACGCCTTTGTTGTTAATCTTTATAGATTATGCCTGGAAAGAAGTGCAGGCTTCTGCATTCGAGTGCATATGAACTTCTTAAATATGTAAAACTATGAAGACTTGACATGCTTTCTATTAGTCAAGATAAAATTTGTGACTAGTGGCTAAATATTTCTTCCTCGTGGCTGATCAGGATTAGTTTCTTACATCAAAAGTCATTTTCAACCCAATTTAGTAATGTTAGTTATCTCTTAATGGTGTATTTCAATCTGCTATGTCGTACATCCAGATTTAGTCATGAGCTTCATTACATTTGAATATACCATATCCATTGAAAAAAAATAAAATTAAAAGTTTATAAAGGAATAAAATATTTTTGTGATTTGTCTTTCTCAATTCTTGCAGGAAGAATTCGAGTCTATATGTCTTGAGACACAGGTATAATCTCTAAAATATCATTTTACTCTGTTGAATTTGGACCCCTGAAATTCTAAAAGGTTTTATTTGTGATCTTGTGTTACCATAAAAGATGAAGATGATTATAGGTCTTTTAATTCCGCTGAACATTGATGTACTTGGAAAGATTTTGGCTGTTCACAGGACTTGTCTTGTTGCAGGCTGCAACGGTTCTTGACAATGTAGAGGAACTCGTGGAAGAACATAGTCTGGATCCTCTACTTTCTGAGAAGTAGGTGTCCTCAATTTTGTTAGCTATTTAGCAATTTATAGTTCGCAGATTAGTTTCATTATTAGAATGAAAAGCAACTATAAGTTGGGATGGACATTTCGTGGAACTAAAGGGACATTCTTTTAATCAACTCTGTAATATAAAAGTTGTTGGAAGTGATAAAAAGTTATGGTTTGTGTTACTAAACTTTCTACCCTCTCGATTCTGTATGTAAATATATAATTTTCCATGAAGTAACGACCACAAAATTACAGGAGTAATGTTGGAGAAACTGCACAAAATTTGTCCGAAACAAAGAAGAACGAACTCCACTACCTGACGGGGATTTTGCGAAAGGTGAATTTAAACTTGTAATGTCAGCATCTAAGTGAAAATGTTTGATAGTCTATATTTTATTGAATCCTGTAAGTTGGAAGCAATGCAAATGCATTAGGTTGTAATTTTATGCTGTAATCTGCCTCTGTTTAAACAAATTTATAGTCTACAACAGTCGCAATTATGGTAAAACATTAAATTCAACTCCAGGTAGCAATGCATATCCTGTGTTTCTGTGTATACTCCCGGTGGCATCTTTTAGCAAGAAAACTTGGAACTTATATGGCCTAGTTACAACTTGTTTTACTTAACAATCAAATAACTATGCCACTGCTTATGGGCTAGCTGAGTTACCTACTTAATCATTAGTTCAGATTTAATGATAAACACGAGTGCAAAGCTTCAAAATTTATACTATGAATAAAAGGATCACAATCACATGGGAAATCTCAAAAGAATGGGTTTTCTGTTTCTTCTCCTAATTGGTTTTGCACTTAAAATGGCTAACATCTGGGGCAGCTGTTATTGTGCATTTCATGCCTCCCAACTGCTTTAAATTGCCTCTGCCTCTGTGAACTGCTTAACATCTGAGGCAGCCTTGTAATTTTGTGATACTTAATCTGACCTTTCATCTGTTTGTTAATTGCACAATTAAAGAAAGGAGAAGTCTTGACCAATGACTTTATATCTCTCAATGTATCTTTTTAACAGGCAGAAGAACAGAAGCGTGATATCAGTGCTCGTCTTGAACTCCTAAAGAGGGAAAAGCACGACTTCTCTGGTGCTAAGAACCTTCTTGCTGAGGTAATTTATTTCTGTGACTTTTATGCTTTTATTCGTGAATAATATGTGAATAAATATCTTCTACTAAAAATATCTTATCGCTTAAGTCTACAGTTAAGGACTGGGATATTGAACTATGAGAATGGCCGCAGCGCGAGGATCACTAATACATAAATACCATCAGCAGTCTCATGCATCAAACTTAGAGTGAATCTCAAACCAGAAACTAAGTAGTTTTGCTGTTGTTATATTCTGCTTGTAATCTATATCTGTTAGGCTTGAGAATTGATAGCAGCATATAAAACCACTCTGTTACTTTCTTGAAGAGTTTCCTCATTTGGCAAAATGAAAAATCTTCCTTGCTTGTTAAATTCTATTTCCCTTAAGATCTTTTTTGGTGTCAGCAGCCTTGGAATTGACAGTTGTTATTGCTCAGCTTGAAGAACAGCTCGAACATCGACAAGGTATTTGACATTTTGAAGTTAATTGGTCTTAAGAATTTTGTTTTTTCTTTATACTAGCATTTGGAGCCAGACTAAAGATACTTTCTTCCTCTTTGGATTTTGTCCATTTTCATTCCTTCTGGTGTAAAATAAATCTTTTGAGGAACCATTTCTATTTCTGAAATTGTTTAGGCTAACATGCTTATTGCATATAACAATTTTCAATATAATGTTTGCAGTTTTTACATCATAGAACTCTGAACAATCTCTAACAGAAGGGTCAGGTGAGAGAGACAGAACTTGTGCCTTAAACTATTGCATACTTGAGCTTCCGATCAAATTAACTTCACGGTATGATCAGCCTACTAAGTATTATGAGAGAGCTTCACTGCATGCTTCTTATGCTGAATTAGACATGAAGAAAAGAGACAAGTAAAAAATGCCAATTCTGTCCTATCCCATTCAGTCTAGAACATAGTTGAATAATTTTAGGGGTTCGGCACCAGGCCTATAGCTTTCGTTTTCTATTCCTACTTTCTAAGTACTGGCTCTTGCAGAACTGAGGTCCCCTACAGATGGTCCACGGGGCTGAGGACCTCTACAGATGGTCCAAATCACAGCTTGTGCTGGACCGGGCTGCTTGGGACTTTGACAAATGACAAACCGAAACATTTTGACACGTTTAACCGATGTATAGATATATGATAACTAGGGCTAGCACTTTCCTACCTAAAAAAATCTGAGTAATACTATTTAACATTATCTGTGTTTAACACCAATTTAGGTGACAACACTTGTGGCTTTAAATTACATGTTCAATTAAATATAATGATTTATGTCCTAGGTAATAGAAATTATAAAATACTGACACCTAAATTGTTGCTTAGTATTACTGGAGCTGGATAACATTATTTGAAAAATTTAGCACTTTGCTGGCTGAACAAATAAAAAAGAGCTGGCAATAGGTTGTTCTGAGAACTTTGCACTGTCTCATTGTCTGGTAACGTGTTTATACATACACTAGATACTTATATGTGGGCTTATAATTTGCTATATTTTAGAGGATTAGTTTTTCGTGTTTGTAGCCTTTTTAAGGGAGTATTCATTTGCATGCCATCATTTAACCTGCCCTTTTGTCAATTTATTAAAAGAAACTTACAGGATTGATTTTTGACATATTGTACGAAGTCCTTGAACTAATCTTGTTGCCAGCTCTTACTAATCGTGACGAACAAATAGCATAATTCTTAAAATTAGAATTATACTTGGTATACATCATATTTTACACAATCATTTACACTCCGACACGTGTCATTACACCATTGGACAGTTAAAAAATAAAATAAAATTTTCATCCAATCAATTCTTGACAACATAGATGATGTCAATCATGATGTAAAGAAAGTGATGTACATGCTACTTATTTGAAATACTAACAAAATAGTATTAAGTTGGCAATTGATAAATTTTGACCTAGAAAGCATTGTTTAATCGTGATATTATGTAGAGTCAACTCATTTTGATATCTAATTGGTTTGAAGGAGGTACACAAATGCCCATCTTCCAACTATTTTTCATAATATAATTAGCTTTATGTGGTCAAAAGGCGGATTAAACCTAAAGTGATAATGGATCGAGTCGAGCGGGTTTGGCCTCAAGACACCTGAGCATTGTTCTACTTTATAGACGAGTTGAGCTTAACTTATGTCCAAATACTATGTTCGACTCAATCCTTTGGCTCGTGGTTTCATGGGGCGAGTCGGCCACGAGGCGATTCATTTTTTTAAAAAGAGATTAATAAAATAAATTTAAAAAGGAGCAATTTTGTTTAAAAGTAGTAAAATGAGCCTTAAAAGTGAGTTGGTCCATGAGCATGCTCATGAAAAAAAGTGAGCTTAGCTCGACCTATGATCATCTCAAAACGAGCGAGCGGCTCAAATTGTTTGTCACACGTAATTAATCCTAGAGGCTTTTAGTAATTAAAGGAGTACTTAGAGACGACTATGTATAATAAATGTTTAGCACATTAGCTTTAGTTTACCCTTTCATTTTTCTTAATTCAACTCCGTCCAAAACTCGAGTAGAGTTTTTTAGACTGTACTCTGCTACATTGTGAATTGTTAATAGATAAATAAATTACACGAGAGAGATGTCTGATCCTTACTTCATCCTTTTAGTTATA